CATAAAAAATAGAAATAACATACCCACAAACATTTTCCAAATTTTTTTTAAATTTAAAAGGCACAATACAGTAGCAAAAGAATGATATCTCATGGTTTGTTGCTGGATGGATTGCACAGCCAATAGGTGCCAGTTCAAAAGAGGAAGGGATCCCTGCAGGCAGGTGGGCAATGAGCTCCTATGGAAGCGATGGACTCTGAACTGTGTCTCACAAGGCTGAAGAGAAGTCATCAATCAGTCAATCCAAGAATTTAATTAATCACCTATTATTCTCAAACATCAAGTTAGAGGAGTATAAAATGATTCCTCCCTTCAAGGTACTTTCAGTTCAGTACTGATGTAAATAAAAAGGAGAAGGCTTTCTGGGCAAATGGAGTAGTATGAGCTGCAGTATAGCAGAATGGGGGCTTCATGACTGATGAGGGAGAATCAGGTAGTGAATTGACAAGGGACTTCGAGACTTTTTTCTGCAGATGCTGAGGAATCAGTTACATAATATGATCAATATATACTTTTTAAATAACATATATACACACAGACTCTTTATATATATATATATGCATACACACACACTCTTTTAAGTGCTCTCACCAGGTGGTGACCTGATGACCATGATGCTAACATATATTATGTGTTGAGGAGAGTAACATGAATAAATACAGGTCTGCCTGATTTCATGTATTCAGATGAGGGGCTGTTCAGGTAGAGGTGGCGGTGTGCAGGGTGAACCTAAGTAGGGAAGAACTGACAGCAGAGAGGGCAGGTGCAACACTGCATGTGAGGGAAGGAGGAGTGGATTCAAGAAACTATATGCAGAGCAGAACTGAGAAAAGCATACCTTTGAGCTAAATAGCGTTAACAAAATAATTCTCAAATCTTGATCCTGAAAACAGGATCAAGGCTCACTTGCCAGTGGCTTTGCCTTGTAGGCCACCATGGCCAACATTTCATCATTATTCTTGGGTTCGATGTTTTCTCCAGCCATCACTGGGAATCCACAACTGGAATCCACTGGGCTGCCACCAAGGCCAGGCTTAGCCTTGTGTAAGTATCATGGAGAGTTATGGACTGAATGTTTATGTCTCCCCTCCAATTTCTTTTTTGAGGTATTACCCCCAATGTGATAGTATTAAGATGTGGGGCCTTTGGGAGATAGTTTAAGTCATGAGGGTGCAGCTTTCATGACTGGGATTAGTACCCTTATAAAAGAAATCCCAGAGAGCTCTCTAGCCGCTTACCACCATATGAGGATACAATGAGAAGATGTCTCTCTGCAACCTGGAAGATGGCCCTCCCAGAACCCTACCATGACGGCACTCTGATCTCAGATTTTCAGCCTCCAGAACTGTGAGAAATAAATTGTTATTCATAAGTCACTCAGTCTGTGGTACTTTGTTACAGCAGCCTGAATGGACTAAGGTGTGGAGCCATAGAAATAGCTGAGTGAAATGTACCAGTGGCATTTTCCTCTTGGGTTTTCCAATTCCCTTTTGTGTCTGCCTTTGATTTTATTGATACCAAAAGATCGAACACTGAAAGGCGAAGCCTACAGCCTTTTTGGTCCCCAGGAGTCCTGCAAGTCTTGACAGCCAGACAGAGTCAAGGCTGCTGTTACATACTGTATTTGCTGTGGGTCATCGCCAATTTGTCCTGCAGCAAAGGGATGAGAGGCGTGTCCAGAACTAACAGATGCCTCTTCACCGTGCACTGAGCACACTACACCTGCTTGTAAGGCGTCTCGTTGTAATTGTCACTTTCTGTTTCAGGTCTTGTTGGATAAATCTGAGTCTGTGGTAGGTGTGGCAAGGAAGTGTGATGTCAACTTAGGGTGGGCCCCAGGTAGAGCCCCCAAATCTCCCAAGATTTATGGACAGTTTGAGGAGGCGGCTAGCAGTGAACTTTCACAGTGAGAGAGTGAGCGGGTGCAGGGTGCCCAGAGCCAGCGCTCACCCTGGGCTTGATGAATTAACGTGATGAGCAGTGTGTCACTGAGCTCCTGGCCACTAAGTAGGGCGTGTGGTGGTGACATCTGTGAGGAGAAAAACGGGAACATCTTCCAAAGAGGGATAAGGGTTCCTCCTGCCAGTCATGTTTCTGGGATGGTTATGTTTGCAAATGGGTTAGAAATTCACATTTGAGGCTGGGTGTAGTGGCTCACGCCTGTAATTCCAGCACCTCTGGGAGGCCAAGGTGAGTGGATTACTTGAGGCCAGGAGTTCAAGACTAGCCTGACCAATATGATGAAACCCCATTTCTACTAAAAATACAAAAATTAGCCAGGTGTGGTGGTGGCTGCCTGTAATCCCAGCTACTCAAGAGGCTGAGGTGGGAGGATCACTTGAACCTGGGAGGAGGAGGCTGCAGTGAGCTGAGACTGCACCACTGCACTCCAGCCTGAGTGACAGAGTGAGACTCCGTCTCCAAAAAAGAGAAAAAATTCACATTTGAGTGATAAGTAGTGAATATGCTGTTTCAGATGCAATGGACTGATGTGCACCTTGGTTACTGAATTTCCCTGTGACATACAGCAGTTTCTCGGGTAGTAAGAGACTATTTAGTGGGTGTTGATCACTGAAACAGGATCAGGATTTGTACACCTGGCACTGCAGTTATCTTATGGCTACAAGAAGATGTTGAACAGCTATTACAACTACGAACCAGGAACTTTCAGAGAACAGGCCATTTTCAATTTTTCCATTTCTAACATATTTTAAATTGCTAATGTTGTTTAAGAATTTGGTAACAAACTAGAAAGAAATCAAGAAAGAGAGAAATAAAAGAAAAAATAAATGGGGCTGCTCACTTAAAGGTTTCTTCTGTCCTTATGATTCTCGCCTTATTATAGTAATTTATAAATATACAGACATCAAGCATTAGAGTAGCAGGTTTGAGTAAGGCTTTGTGTGTTCTGTGGCAGAGGGCTGAGCTTGGTCCTTCAAGTTTTGCAAGAAGAGTTGAAGCTTAGGAATCTATGCTCTGCATCATCTATTCCAAAGTTTTAATATCTTACTCTGACTCTATGCTCTGCATCATCTATTCCAAGTTTTAATATTCCAAAATGTAAGAAAAAATGGGCACAAAAAGTATTCATGTCTTGCATATATTTAAGACATATTTGTGTCTTATGCAGAGACAATGTTAGGATATCGAAAATTAGAATGATTGCCCCATGCAACAAACATTTCAAGGAGTTTCTGCTCTCTGCTCGACCCTGTACTAGGACTGGGTGGGAGCATAAGGAAACCACAAGCAAAATGATGAAAAATATTTACGGTAAGTTCTACTGCTTGGGAGTCCACACTGTTGGGCAAAGGCTTAAAAAGGCACTATGGGCACTGCTAGCTGTAGAAGAAATTACTAAGGTGTTTACATTTATAGAGACTCTTGGATGAAATTAATAGAATAATTCAAACCAGCTCAAGGAAAAATGAGAATTTAGCTCATGTAAAGTTTAAGATAACAGAAAAGCAATTAAGAAGGTTTCTTCATGGCTGGATCCAGGTGCTCTGTGTCCACAGGAATCTGTCTCTCATCACATAAGCTCTGCTTTCCTCTGTTTTGCTTTATTTTCAGGAAAATCTCCACCCAGTGGTGGCAACAATGGTCAAAGCATTTCCAGACATTTGTTCTAGTACTCCTGCACTTAGAGGGAAGGGGAGAGCCTTGGTCCAAGAGCACTAGCTGAAGTACTGGAGGATGTTCTTATTGGTCATGCTTGAGCCAATGCCCCTCCTTGAAGCCATTGTGATAGTACTTTGGTGCCCTGGCCAGCCCAAGGTCAAGGCCCACTTTTGGAACTGGAGGTCAAGGTCCAATTCCCAACCTGAAACATGGACTGAGGGGTGGAAGAAAAGCAGTTGCAGAAAGGAGAATGGGTCTTGTTACCAAAAGAAGGGAAAGGAACACTGGGAAGGGAAAACATAAAAGATGTGCACCAGAAGGGAGGTCTTAGTGTGTTTTCTGTTGCTGTAACAGAATGCCTGAGACTAGGTAATTTATAAAGGAAAGTTTACTGGGCTCATAGTTCTGGAGGCTGTAAAGTCCAAGAGCACAGCATTAGCATTCCACATGGCAGAAAGGAAGAAGTCAGAGGCAAAACATAGGGACCACCTCACTGTATAACAACATGCTCTTGAGATAACTAATCCAGTCCTGAAAGAGCGTGAGAGCTCACTTACTCTCATGAGAAATAACGCATTCCATGAAGAGTAGCATTAATTCCTCTTAATGACCTAATCACCTCTTAAAGTCCCTACCTTTCCAACTGCCACACTGGGGACCACATTTCCAGCACATGAACTCTGAGGGACATGCTCAAACCATAGTGGTGCTTGTGTTCACAGAGTCCCATCATCTCCTGTATGCCACACGGGCAGCCAGGGTCCAGACTGGCCTTAGAGCCAACATCCCCCACCAAGGCATCAGAGTGCATGTGGTCATTCTGCAACACTTCCCCACTACCATTTCTCAAGGCTGTTTCATGTTTTCAGTAGGTCTTTTAAAAATTACAAATGTAAATGATCATGGTAAAAAAATTCAAATAGAATGTAAAATAATATAAAATGAGAAAGAAAAGATGTCTCCCCCATCCTCTACCAGTCCCAAGTCTTTAACATGACCAAAATGGTATATAGTTCTAGAAAATTTCTCTTTGAAAACAATCATCCATCCATCCATCCATCCATCCATCCATCCATCCATCCATCGATCCTCCTGCTTCAGCCCCCTTAGTAACTGGGATTACAGACACGAGCCACCAGACTCCGCTAATTTTTGTATTTTTAGTAGAGACAGGGTTTCACTATGTTGGCTAGGCTGGTCTCAAACTCCTGACCTCAGGTAATCCACTAGCTTCCAGCTCCCAAAGTGCTGGTTTTGCAGGCATGAGCCACCGCACCTGGCCCTTTTCTTTCTTTCTTTCTTTTTTTTTTTTGACTTGCCTCACCTTGTATTACACAAAATAGATTTCAGTCACGTTGCACATTCATCCTAGCTATAAATCTGGCTTAAAAAAATTCCTAGGGATTCAGTGTGGTCGATGTCATGATTTTCCTTTTATTGGCATCATGCCTCTATTGTATTCAGGGTCCTCTCAAAGGACAAAGGCAGATGAGGCTGCCTTGGGTCAGCTGCACCCAGTGTGCTCCCGGCCTGCCCGCTGGAGGCGCAGCTCCCATTATCATCTGGACCGCGACTGCTACGGACGGTCAAAGCGGCAGCACGTCATCGCCTTCACCAGCCCTTCTCCAGCAGCACAACCAGTCCTCCCAGCTGGTCCTCTGGGGACCAGCCATCATGGCGATGTGGTGGCAGTGTCCCCAGGCAGCTGACCATCCTGGGCTTCTCTTTGGGCAGGCCTGGCCAGGGCCTTAGGGGAATCTCTGTGTTTATGGTATAAATCTGAATGAGATCAGACACAATATTATCAATGATTGGCTTGGTAAGGTCGTCACTAAACACCTGCCACCACGGCTTCTCAGCCTCGACCTTGGCGGGCACCTCGACTCCGTGGACCTGCAGGGCCAGGTAGAGCACGGCCACGGCGATGTGCTGGGCCTGGAAGCGGAGGCACAGCCCCCGGTGGTATCTGTCCCGCAGCAGGGCCCAGACGGTGACAGAAACGGGGGTCCGCTGCCAGCTGTGGTGGTTCAGCCAATTCCTGAGGGAAACCAGGTAGTGGAGCAGGTACTTGTGTGGATGCTGGAAGACCTGGAAGCGCATACTTCTCAGTATGAGAAACTCACACTGCACAATGCTGTCCCGGAGCTCCCAGAAGCGGGAGTCCAATTCCAGGGGCTCACCGCTTGGGTTGAAGTACCTGTTGGACACATTGATGATGTCACGAGTCCGCAGGCGCTGCTCTTCCACTTTGCCGGCCAAGTAAATGGAAGACATGGCAATCAGGTAAGGGTCACAGGCATCCAGATTGGTCTCGCAGAAAAACTTACGGTAAATGGTGCAAGCAGTGGCAATGGGAATGGACCAGATCCCTAGCTTGACACCTGCCTCCATGATGAACCTCGCCACGCGGAAGTGCACCCTGGCTTCCGGCGCCGGCCGCCCCTCCGGGCCCCGCGCTGCTGCGCCCCCTCTGCAGTCCTCCCGGCCTTCCATGAGGCCCCGCAGCTGCCGCGGAAGAAGAGGCGGTCAGCTGTGCAGACTGGCCTTTTTCTTCCTTTCTTTCTTTCGTTTCCTTTTCTTTTTTTCTTTCTTTCTTTTTTTTTTTAACAAGTTGTATCATATTATGCATATTGCTCTCCAACATAAGTTTTCACTTAATAATATTCTTGGCATCTTTCCCTATCAGCACACAAAGTTTAAAAACAAGCAAACAAACAAAAAACAAACAGCTGCATAATATCCCATAAAATGGGCCAGGCACAGTGGCTCACGCCTATAATCCCAGCACTCTGGGAGGCCGATGCGGGTGGATCACTTGAGGCCAGGAATTTGAGACCAGCTTGGCCAACATGGAGAAACCTTGTCTCTATTAAAAATACAAAAATTAGGCTGGGCGCGGTGGCTCACGCCTCGAATCCCAGCACTTTGGGAGACCGAGGCGGGCAGATCACGAGGTCAGAAGATCTAGACCATCCTGGCTAACATGGTGAAACCCTGTCTCTACTAAAAATACGAAAAATTAGCCGGGGATGGTGGCGGGCGCCTATAGACCCAGCTACTCGGCTGGCTGAGGCGGGAGAATGGCGTGAACCCGGGAGGCGGAGCTTGCAGTGAGCTGAGATCGCGCCCCTGCACAACGTGGCGGTGCATGCTGTAATCCCAGCTACTCAGGAGGCTGAGACACAAAAATCCCTTGAATTTGGGAGGCAGAGGTTGCAATGAGCCGAGATCGCGCTATTGCACTCCAATCTGGGTAACAGAGCGAGACCCTGTCTCAAAAAAATATATATAAATAAATAAATAAATAAATAAATTCATAAAATGGATGTACTGTAATTTATTTAACCATTTTTCTGTTAATGAACATTTATGTTATATTCATGGTTGTTTTTCAAACAATTCTGTCCTGTCAATTTAGTTTATGGATATACTTGCAAAAACACACTAAGCTGTATACAGGAATATAACTACCAGTCCCAAGTCTTTAACATCACCAAAATGATATAAAGTTGTAGACAATTTCTCTTTGAAAATGTACAGGAAGGTACACACAGCTTAGTGTGTTTTTGCAAGTATATCCCTAAGCTAAATTCCCAGAAGTGAAATTGTGTGTTCAAGGATATGTTGCCGTCATGCGCTGCATAACAATGTTTTGGTCAATGACAATCCTCATATACAATGGTGATCCCACAAGATTATAATGGAGCTAAAAATATTCCTATCGCTGGGTGCAGTCACAGCCTTCGTAATGCCATAGCCCATGATAGACTCACACAAATCTAATATGAAAAAATAAACAAACCACCATGAGCATCTTTCTGAAAAGAGTGATTCCTCCTTAAGAACAGCCTCAGATTGGTCCTTCAGGAGGTAGCCAGAAGAAGACATTGTTATCGTAGGAGACGACAGCTCCATGTGTGTTCCTGCCCGCTGAAATTCATCTAGTAGGATAAGATATAAAGGTGGAAGATGGTGATATTGATGATCCTCACCCCGTGTAGGCATAGGCTAATGGGTGTGTTGGTGTATTCATTTTTAAACAAAAAATTTGGCCAGGCATAGTGGCTCATACCTGTAATCCCAGCACTTCTGGAGGCCGAGGCAGGAGGGTCACTTGAGGACAGCAGCTCAAAACCAGCCTGGGCAACAAAGTGAGACTCTGTCTTTACAATTTTTTTAAAAAAAATCAAGCAGGCATGGTGGCTCATGACTGTAGTCCCAGCTTCTTGGGAGGCTGAGGTGAGCGGATTGCTTGAACCTTGGAGGTTGAGGTTACAGTGAGTCTTGATTGTGCCACTTGCATTCCAGCCTGGAAGACAGAGCAGACCCTGTAGCTAAAACAAAACAAAAAAACAAAACAACAAAAAGTTTAAAAAGTAAAAAATAATTAAAATGTCTAAAAACAGAAAAAAGTATATAGAATAAAGATATAGTGAAAGAAAATATTTTTGTATAGCTGTGTAATGTGTTTGTGTTTTAAGCTAAGTGTCATTACAAAGAGTCAAATGTCTGAAAAAAGTAAAATTTATAAAGTAAAAAAGTGATAGTAAGCTAAGGTTAATTTATTATTGAAGAAAGAACATTTAAAAAATTTAGTGTAACCTAAGTATACAGTGTTTATAAAATGTACAGCAGTGTACAGTAATGTCCTAGGCCTTCACATTCACTCACCACTCACTCATTGACTCACCCAGGGCAACTTCCAGTCCTGCAAGCTCCACTCCTGGTAAGTGCCCTATACTATACAGATATACCATTTTTAATTTAATTTATTTTATTTTATTTAGATGGAGTCTCACTCTGTCACCCAGGCTGGAGTGCAGTGGCACGATCTTGGCTCACTGCAACCTCCGCCTCCTGGATTCAAGCGATTCTTCTGCCTCAGCCTCCCGAGCAGCTGGGATTACAGGCACCTGCCACCACAGTCAGCTAATTTTTTTTTTGTATTTTTGGTAGAGACAGGGTTTCACCATGTTGGCCAGACTAGTCTTGAACTCCTGACCTCAGGTGATCCACCCGCCTCGGCCTCCCAAAGTGCTGGGATTACAGGCGTGAGCCACCGCGCACGACCTCCATTTTTAATCTTTTACAGGGTATTTTCTATCGTATATTTTCTATTTTTAGATATACAAATAATTGCCTGCAATATTAGTACAGTAACATGCTGCACAGGTCTGTAGCCTAAGAGGAATAGGTTATACAATACAGCCTATATGTATATAATATATAGTAAGCTGTATCATTTAGGCTTAAGTACACTATGACGTTCACACAATGATGAAATCACACAAGGATGTATCTCTCAGACATATCTTAGTTGTTATGTGAGTGTGACTGTATTTTAACTTTGGATACATATTGATACAAGTTGACCTTTGAGAAGACCACCAATTTCCATTCATACAAATAGCATTAAAAGTACCAATTTCCCCACACTCAGTCACTACTGGATATCTTTAAACTTTATGTTGTTGCTAATTTGATAGGTGAAAATGGTATTTCATTGTTTTTATTTGCATTTTAAAGTTACAAATGAAGTTGAACTTCTTTTAATACGTCTGGTCTGTTTTGATTTCATTTTTGGTGAACTTAAAATCTGTTCTTTCTCCACATTACAATATTAGCATTTGGATGACTAAATCATGCGTTTTGCCCATTAGAGTTCATTTAATCCTGGTCATGAAATATATTTGTAGATTTACCAGTGGTTGAATCCCAGAACAGTAGAGCTCTAGATACACTTGAAATGATCCCATGATACATTCTCATTTTCAGATAAAAAAACTGGGGTGTCTAGGGAAGCAAAATTAGCTGTCCAAGGTCACACAATTAGAGGCTGAGCCAATAACAGAATGTGCACTGCCTGAGGTATTATGTAAGTCTTTTACTCTGCTGTTTACTAAAGCGAGAGGTCTGTCTTGGAAATTTAAACCACTCATCTTAATCTATTAGCATCCCAAGGAGCTACTTATAACTGTAACCGCCGACCCAATGAGCCAGCTTCTCATCCAATGTTTCACTTAATGGTGTAGTTTATTACAGTTCAGCAGTCCCAGAGACTGGACGTCTGAGGCACGTGTTAAACTCCTCTTCAACGGCTGCAGTAAAACTTTCCGTTTTACTGGCGGTGCCCAGTTCAGGGAACGGGAGTTTCTTATGCTCAGTCAACGCGAACTCAGGACAAATCAAGCAAGAAAAATCAGTAGTTTCATCTCTGCCATTACTTACAGTTTTTATGGATTGTTTAATATAATGAAACAGTCACAGGGAAGAAATTCAGTACCTCCATATTACATTCTCATACTTACAAAGAGCTTTTTCAAATTCCTCATGAAATGATACCCATTTAATTTCAGTCTTGGAATTAGGGTTTTACCTTTCTGACACTCCTTACGGGGCCCTTACACAATTACTAAAATCCACATTAGTCATTAGGGAACTTTGAAGATGAGAATTGCTCTGTCACAGGCTTTAATCCAGGGAGCCCTAAGTGCAGGGGTCCCAGCCTTGACTGTCTCTACACTATCACTGGGCTTTTTTCCCCTATGGAAACACTAAGACTTTATTATACTTATAATTTGGATACATCTATGTCTTCTCAAAATTTAGTTTTTAAGAAAATATTTAAAGAATATCTAAATGTTTTTTCTTGTTGTTGTTGTTGTTGTTTTGAGACAGGATCTCTCTCTCCCAGGGTGGAGTACAGTGGTGCCATCACAGCTCACTGCAACCTAGACTTTTTTGGGCTCAAGTGATCCTCCCACCTCAGCCCCCTGAATAACTGGGACTACAGGCATGTGCCACGATGCCTGGCTAATTTTTGTATATTTTTTAGAGACAGGGTCTCACTGTGTTACTCAGACTGGTCTCAAACTCCAGGACTCAAGCAATCCTCCCACCTTGGCCTCCCAATATGTTGGGATTATAGGTGTAAGCCACTGTACCAGGCTCAACTATAAAATTATAGTTTGATAGAACTTCCCAAATGATGGAAAAGACATAAGATTTTGAAGAGAAGAATCAAGAGAAACAAAAATAACTGGCAATTTAAGAGTTAAGCTACATGTTGCCACATCATCCATGTTAGGAAACCAAAAAAAACCCCAAATACATTAATAAAAATGAAAAATAGGTTTAAATATCAAAATAGGGGACATGTATCTTCTAAACACTGTAATTAATAGAAAATTCTTTAGTACATGGTCTTTATTTTTTTTCTTTTTCAGCCAAGTATATGCAGCTAACTGCAGTTCAGCTGTGAATCTGTTTTGAAGGACCTAAGTGCACTATTTCTGTTTTCCGAGAGAGTTTTAAGAAAATTTCCCCCGCTTTTTCATTTGCAGGTTATGTTCAGTTAATTATTAGAATGCGGAACATTCTGTCCTTACTACGCAAAAGTTCCTGACTTCTGGGTAGGCAAAGGGAAGCATAATGGATCCAAGGGAAATTCTTCCAGCCCTATTTTACTGGCCTTCTCTTCAAGTACATCATAAGAAATTGTGTTTAAATAAATTGGATTG